GCAGAGGTGCTCCAGCCCTCTGAGCATCTTCGTGGCCTCCTCTGGACTCACTCCAACAGGTCGATGGAGCTCACTCTCTCCATGTGAGCACTTATTCTATTTTGCCCTTTGGCCTCTCCAATAATTTGATGATCTATTTTAATGCCCTTTTAAAGTTTTGTGAGGAAGATTAGTCAGCAGACTAATGCCTCAGTTTGGAACAAACAGACAAAAATGAATCCTTATGTGCTGCACTGGGCAGGAACTGGCCAGCCATTTAGTAGACATGCAACTCCAGACTCTTCAGGGCAATAATACCAATCAACAGTTCTGCTGAGCCTTTGGCAAATGTTTACTCCTTTTAGAAAAAAAAAAAAAAATTGTTTTTCTTTATTCTGTACATAATATCAACTGAGAATTATAAGAAGGAAAAAGCATTCACATAGGTTCCTCTGTTTCTCAGGACTCTGCTTGCTTCCCATAACAGTTGTGGGAATTCTTTTTCACATTAGATGATCTTGTCTGGATGTTTGGGTTACTTGTTTTGATGGTATACTTTGAGTTGGATTCTTACAAGGAGAGACTCTGTGTGTGTGATTATTTTTGTATTTGAGAAATTATGATGCTGAGTTCTTATTTTTTGTATGAACTTGATGCTAGAACTCGCTGGTTAAGTGACACGTTTTGGCTGGCCAGCAATAACTTTTGTGAGAGCAAGAAGTGCCAAGCTGGGAATAACTGGTTTGTGCTGAAAACGAAATGCTCAAAAAAAAGGAGTTCCTCAAAATTCTCTGGTTGAGAATTTTTTTAAGTCAGTATTTTCTTTTCTCCTCTGAGAATGTAAATTCTTGCCCGTAAGTGTCTCATATGTAGTTCAAAATAGAAATGCCAGTTGCATATATAATTATGGCTGTTCAATACATTACCTGAAAACTTGATATTAATTATATTTCTTCATCTTAGTATGTATCTAATTCAATTTGTAGTGCATTTATGCAGGGACAATCTCGGGGAATCAGTTTTCCTGAATTTATTTGAAGAAAAATAATCTCTGTGTTTGTGATGGTTTTGGTTTTTGTGGGGTTTTTTTGTTTGTTTGTTTTTTTAGAAAACCGAACGTTTTTCTGCTGATTTGATTTTCTTATTTTGGTAGTTTGTTGATTAGGTTATTAAACCTGATTCCTTTCCTGTGTGTTCTGCTGATAAGGCAAAATTTAAGCCCCTTTACTTACCTGAATAGAAACCGGGACATTAGGTCATCTGATGTTTCTGCGTCAGTGAACTTGCCTTCAGCTTTTATGAAATATGGGTAGTTCCTGCAAGAATTTTGCAGTATGTTTTAACACTGATTTTCTGTGTATGTAGGCTACGAGCTTCAAAACAGGTTTCTATGAGTCTTCTCACAAGTGTCACATTTGTTCTCTTACTGACAGTAGGTATATTTCTCTGTTATCATTATAAGAAAGGGAAGTATGAAGCCTCACTGCCAAAGTTGCTTTTCTTTTGCTTCTCCAGTTTTGTGGGAGGGCAGAGGGAAGCGGTGGATTTGCTGCTTTTGTGTAGTTGAGCAGGAGAAACAATTTAGAAATCTTTTTCTAAAATTTGTACCTGTATATTACTAAACACTCCAAATACTGGATTTCTTGAGGCAGCACTAGCATAAAGAATACAGATATTTCACCAACATTTCTTTATCCGTGTTTGTGGTTCTTATGTTATTCTTGCCATGAAACTTGTCACTTTTAGAGTCTTCAAAATTTAAAATCTCTAGTATGAAATTATCTAGTTATGGATTAGGTAGGCACAGTAGCACTCTGAAGAACAGGTGGTTAAACAGCAGTTTAGATATTCAACCTTGAATTCTTCCGGTGTCCAGGTGGCTTGTTGATATTTATGTAATATTGGGTGGTCGGCCCTTAAAAATTTAAGTAATGGTAACCTGTTTTAAATATTAGAATTTTGTAAGCCAAGTATTAGTTTTTCTTCTGCATGTATGCATGCCTTTTAAATGTTAAGTTTGGAGTGGCATTGCTTTTATGAAACGTTCAATGACTGCTGAGCAGAATTGTGAACATTGAGAGTTATGGTAGGGCTCTTGCATTAAAACGAGCATTGTCATATGATCTGTAGTTCTTTTTGGAAACGAAGGCAAATGAAGGCATCTAGTAGCTGAAGAGAACAGAAGCCCTCAGTGATTCTTTCCATGTGAAGTAACTAGTTTACCTGCCTGCAGGCATATAGAATGTTTTGCTGAACTGGTTTCTTTCCTGTTTGTCATGGACTTCATATTTTCCAGTCTAAGGAATAAACCTTCCAATGGGCTGCAGACTACTGGGGACAAAAACACATACACACACACAAGCGGGGGAAAAATACCCCAAGACAGTATTTTAAACATTTGAAACTATTAGCTTGTCTGTCTTTTATCAATTTAGTCATCAGAAAAGCAGAATTCCACTCAGTTTGGGTGTCACACCTCAAGTTCTACAAACTCACACTCTAGGGAATATGACATTTTCTTGTTTCTTATCTGTTTTACTGCAATGCTTTTTTGTGTTTGTGGGTGCGATGTTTGATTAGTGTGCAGAAAGTAAAAGGTTCTCAATAAACTTAGGCTGGCTGTATCAAATACATATATAGTACTCATAAATATTGTAGTTTATATGAGGGTTTTAAACTTCAGAACTTTATGTGAAATAGCTGTAATCCATGGTGTTTGCTAATCCTGTAAAATCTGATGGTGAAAAGTTAGCAAGTTTGCCCAGGAAAAGAAATTTCCAAACCTCAAGTTTTCAACGGTTGGTTTTTTCCCTATAAAAACTGCAGTGTGACGCCCTGGCAGCCATGTGTGGCTGAAAACTGTATGTTCAGAAACAAAATTTCTGTGTATTGTGTGAAGAGGTAGAAAGGAGGAAAGGATTCTACAGGAGCTTTGTCCTCAGTTGAATCCTACAGGATGAGCCGTGTTGATCCCAAAGTGCTTATTGCTCTGGAAAGAGGCATGAGACCATGACACACGTAGTGCTGTGGTGAGTGCCTGAGAGAATTCCACGTAGCGTCCCTTCCCCTCTTTACAAAAATCAGCTGTTTGTTACAAGGATGAAGGTTTTGAAAATGGAAAAGTGTCACATTTTATAGACATGTCAGGTATCTTTCAGATGAGATGTGTGGAGAACGGAATGAAATGCTTGATACATTTCTGTAGGCATGAAGGTTCTCCCTGCTCTGCTGACAGGCTGGTAGCGTAGACAGCCAGCAAAGCTCCTCTTGCAGGGGTTAGCTTTCACGTACTGGTACAAAGCAAAGCTTTGTCAGCGTAGTTAAAAGTAGTTTAATGTATAGCATTCTGGTAACTTTTTCCTTGTGTAGATTTTGCCTTAACCAACTTTGCACTGGGTTAACTCCTTTTAGGTGAACATTTGCTGGTGTGTCTGGGTTTTCATTTTGAGTAAGGTATTGCGAGTGGATATGTATTTTTTTCATTTCTAATTGTGCCTGTGTGGATGAGCAGGACTGGCTTTGGAAGCTGGGAGGGGTAAGTGGGTCTCAGTTTGTACACTTTCATGTGTATATTGGGAAGAGTTAGTGCTCTACAGCCTCATTGTGTATAAAGAAATATATAGCCTACAATTTAGGACAAGACTTAGGAATTTATTTTTTTAAAAAATGGAGTATAGACGCACAGAGGCCATGGAACCTCTTTTCTGAGAATTTTACTTTTCTTATATTTTTTCTGTTTTCTTTTTCTGTTAGCCCTTCTAATAACAGAACAGTAGCCTGTTAAAATTTCTTGTTTTAAATGAGCCACTGGCGTCTTGCACAAGTATAAGGAAAACCAGAGTGACTGGTAGCTTTTTGGGTTTTTTCAGAACTAAATCCATTTCTCCAGTTTTGGTGATGAAATAGAACTTGAAGAAATAAATTCAGCAAATTACTCTCTTCTGAAGGACTCTGTCATGTAAAATCATGAATGGCAGCTGTTTCAAAGGCTGCTTCTGAAGGTGACTGGTGCTTCTCCACCCCTTTTTTCTCCCTCCTCTTTTTCTTTGATTGCACAGAGACAAGTCGTTTCACTGACAACTTGTTTTTACTTCATTTTGAAGCCTTGGGGAATTGGGAGTTGGTTTAAATGAGGTTAGGCCTTAGCCTGGATTTCATTAGAAGCAGTAACAGGTATGTTGAAAAGTATGAAACAGGTATGTTGAAAGTTGTCAGGTGTTTGTGGATCTTTCTGAAGAAGATGATTTAGACCAGTGTACACTAAAAGGCATTGAAGATGATTTTGCTGGTAGAAGAAAATATTTCTTTGAGTTGTGTATATATATGCGAATGGACAGTGAAAAGTAAGTCTGATAATAAATCCTGAAAAGCAATATAAAATGGATACTAGGTATCCTCAGATAATTACATGTAATACAGTAGCTTTCTTTATTATTATTAATTAAATGTTCTTACATGTACGGGAGACACACAGCACCCCACCCCACACTGTCTAATTTTCTTCTGAAATTAGTTCAGGTTCATTTTAAGACAGGCACTGCTATCTCTAGTCATCATGATGTTCATTGGGAGACTGCGTTGGAAGTTTTGGGATCTAACATTACATTTTTGTCTTTTGGCTCGTCTAGCTTTATCAGCTTGGATCCTAACTCTGAACTGCTTGCTTTTCATCCTTGTTATCTCAGAGATCAGTGAAACTCTAGCCTATTTTTGTAAATTACAGTAATACATTCAACCATAAATTGGCCATAAAATGATCTTTATGGATATGCTTAGCAATTGGAAAATACTGCAGTGAAGTGTGAGTAGTTTCCATGTCCTTTGGAAAATATATGTGCTTTTGAGTAGTAAGTGCAAGTTTTCTGTAATCAAACTAATCTCTAATTTGGGAAAAAGTAGTTTTTAGTAGCTAGGATGAGGTTGTTTATATTTTGAACAGGATGTTATTTGCAGTCCTGTTCTGCTATATTATTGAGATATCTTGCATTTTAAATAATGTAATTTCTTTATTTTGTTTTTAGGAGAATGACATCTTCCTGGGCTGGGAAAAGGGAGCTTACAAGAAATGGGGAAAGAGCAAGAAAAAACGCTCTGATCTAACACTAGAGGAAATGAAAAAACAGGCTGCTGTCCAGTGTCTTCGCTCTGCATCTGATGAAGTAAGTTTGGACTGTTGAATGGGTTCTTAGGCTTTATGCCATTCTTTGTGATAGATATATTTAGCTTGTGATGCTTATCTTTTAATTTGTGGCTTCTTAAAATGCAAGTTCCTCCAGAGTTCTCTGAGAGTTCTTTATTTTTCTTTAGGAAATGATGAAATCTGTGTATGGCAGCAGGATTTCACAAAAGGTTCTGTGCTATGTAGTGTCATGCTTTCCTTCTGTAAGCCCTCAACTATTCCTGTCAGGGCAGTTGCAGCGCAACAGTTGGTGTTGAAATAACCACAAAGGTTTGCATAAAGATATTTCTTAAAATTGTAAATTGTCTTTGTGTTGTGTGTAGTGCAGCAAGGAATGGAACATAGGGGCAGAAAGCCATCTTGCTTTGTGCATGCTGTATGTGTAGACCAGACTAGCTGAATAAAATGCAATGTACACTAGCAAATGTTCACTTTCTAGAATACATCATTGGGTGGAAGTGGACTTGAAGTGCACTGACTGGAGAAGGTGGGGAGAGATGAAAGCAGCAGGTGGAAGGAAGATACCAGAGGCAGCAGATACCATGTAGCTGAGTGGAAAACTGGAGAAAGGAAGAGACCGTTGGAGGAAATGTTGAAAAAGAAAATAAAAACAACATAACAACCTGTAGCAAGGGTCAATGAAAGCTCTTCAGGGAGATTTTTCAGACAGCAGAAATGAGAAAGTCTATCTTTTAGTTTACAGAACTACAAGTACTTTGATCTGCCTCTACTGTAAGAAGAAACTCTACCTTGCCTATGCAGCCTCAGGACATTACTGCTCCATACAGCTTCCTAGTCACAGTTTGTGCTTGCACAAGCATCTCTCTGGTTGTGTGGAGAACTGGATTGGGAAAGTGAATCAGTTGCCTGAGATTAACCTGGTTGGGGTGGAGGAAATGTTAACCCAGGGAGTTTTCGTGGTCAGATTTGTAGCAGAGACGCTTGTGCCAGCAAGAGTGGGGAAGGTATGTGGCCAAGAATAATAAAGGAAGTGAAGTCGATTTATGTGGTTGTTCCCACCATCACCACCTTCAGCAGCATTGCCATCATGTACTGGCTTACCGTTTGTGAAGCTACTTGAGCATTTATTCAGTTAGTAAAGTGCTAATTGATGAATTGGCAGTTTTCTGAACTCCCATTTTCCCATTACTTAATATCCAAACAAAGTGATGCAAAATTTTGTTGGTAATTTGATCTGCTTTCATAGTTACAAAATATTGAGGTCAGCACTCTGACTACTGTACAAGTTAATTGAAATCCGAAGAAATAATTGTGGGAATTCAAGTCCTTCTTGAGGATATGGCTATCTTTGTATGCCCATTTTACAAACAACAAAAAGTAGTAGTCTCATATGTAGACCACAGGAATACTGATGATTTTCAGCTGTAGAAATTGATGAATCGTCATATTGCTGAAAATCAAGGAGAATCACTTAGAATTAAATTTATATCATACAGAGTAATCCAGTTGAAAAGAAAAAGGAAGGAGGTAAATAGGAACATAGGAACATAGAATGGTTTGGGTTGGAAGGGGCCTCAAAGACCATCTAGTTCCAACCCCCCTGCCATGGGCAGGGACACCTTCCACTAGACCAGGTTGCTCCAAGCCTCATCCAGCCTGGCCTTGAACACTTCCAGGGATGGGGCATCCACAGCTTCTCTGGGCAACCTGTCCCAGTGCCTCACCACCCTCTCCGGGAAGAACTTCTTCCTGATATCTCATCTAAACCTCCCCACTTTCAATTTAAACCCGTTACCCCTTGTCCTGTCACTACAGGCCCTTGTAAAAAGTCCCCCCCAGCTTCCTTGTAGGTCCCTTCAGGTACTGGAAGGCTGCAGTAAGGTCTCCCCGGAGCCTTCTCTTCTCCAGGCTGAACAAGCCCAACTCTCTCAGCCTGTCCCTGTAGGAGAGGTGCTCCAGCCCCTGATCATCTTCGTGGCCCTACTCTGGACTCTGCTCCAACAAGATCTTTCAAACATGTAGTAATAATCCCTGGTCTGCCTCCACTTGAAGGTTCGTATAATCTGAAGCAGAGGAAGGGAAGAAACCCTTCAACTAGAGTTTGGAAAGACTAAAAAGATGGGTGATCTGAAAGGTTGAACAAGTAACTTCCTCCTTTGACTCCTGCCACCTTGTCAGATTTTTAGTGTTAAGCATTAACCTGTAATCTACAACGTGCAGACTTGTGTTATTTCAGGGCTATTTTGGCTTCTTTTGCACACCTAGACAATTCAGCTTGCACATTTGTTGTCTTGAAGGAAATAGTAGGTTATATATTTCATTAAAATGTATTTTAAAACACGGGGTGGAACCCTTAAACCTTAAATAAAGTTTTTACTTAATGCTGTTCTGTAGGTAGTTTAACACCTGTATTGCGTAAGAAAGACTGATATTTCCCCCCCCAGAGTTGAGGGGGAAAGGAGATCCTGCTTTGATGCTGATTTAAAGTAACTTGTAAGGTATCTCTTCTTTCTGTTTTTCAAACACGTTTCCTGTGTTGGCTGGGTTTCTGTACTTTAGATTTGTGTGCTAATCTGTTGGGAACAATTAGTAGTTTTTGGACTGTGAAACATAGCATTACAATGCTTGTTTCTGCTGAGGCATTCCGGCTGCCCCATGCAATGTTCATGATTTCATCTCTACAAAAAGATTGAAAACACTCTTGAACTGTAGCCAGAATTGATGTGGAGATACAAATAAATACTGTTTTCCAATGTCACTTGAGTATTTTTAAATTATTGTTTTCGGAATCATCTGAAAATGTTTACCTGTAAACCTGGGGTGTGTTTTTGGTCAGATAGGTAGAAGTTGGATGTGTTCATCAGGATCTTCATAAATATGTCAACTAGCATCTTTGTTCTCCCAGTTTTTTTTCTTGCAAGGGGTCTGACAGTGCTCCACATGTGCAGTTCTGGAGCTCTTGGTTTGGTATTCTTCTGTGATCCTTTTCTCAGAGTAAGTGGATACAGAAATACCAGTATCCTCATGCAGATACGGAGTGCTTGCTCTCCCAGCCTAACCTCTTCTTTCAGCCTAGCAGTGGAGCAAGGCAAGCAGGGTTGAGGGAGTAATCGAAAGAAGGCTTAGGGAATTTGAACTTAAGTACAATTTTATTTGAATATACTTAAGTGAAATGGTTAGAATGTTTACCCTGTGTGTGTCTGTAGAGACAGTATGTGTACACACATGTATGTGTACACACACAGAGACCATACCAAAAATAGGGAGACAATTACATGAAGATTTTAGGATTCTGCAGCCTGATCTACTTTAGGGGGAAGGATGTGTGGAGGATGAAAGAGTATTTGAGGGTTAATAACTTTTCGAAGGCTCATAGTAAATGACAGAGATCCAGGTACCATAATTTTGATGTTTATATTTATTTAAACCAGTAACGTGTTGAGAAATTGTAGAGGGTATGCCTCCTCCCCCCTAACAGTAATCAAAGGCCCTAAAAGTGGATGATCACTTCAAAAAGATGCTTGATGGGGAAGAAAGTCATAAAACAGATTAGATGAAAATTGACTTGATAACACTAAATACTGTTTTGACAGTCTTTCATTTATTGATTGAAAAATATTTTGATATCTTGACTCTTGTTGATTTTCATTTACGTAGTGTTCATTCTTAGGGATTTGGTAGCTTAGTTTTGCTTGAATTCAGTTTTTGTCTCTTACTAAAAAAGAGTCACGCTCTAAAGCATTAGTCAGAGACAGAAATCCAAGACTAGTAATAATTTTGTGGTGCAGAAAACAAAACATTTTACTTTCGAAAGCCTACAGTTCGGCGTTTATTTCTAAAATGTGTCCGAAGTTAGAGTATGACAAGTCAGGGAGGCTGCAGATTCCTGACTGCTCTGCATCACTGGCTCGCAGTGGCAAAGTGTTGTGGACGAAGTGCTTTTGTGAGAGGAGTCCTCATTTTGACAAACTATCTGGTATGTGTAAGAAAGCCAATTATTAACTTACGTATGTCCTGCGGACAGTAATTCTTGTGTGACAAGCATTTTGGTGTCTCAAGTTGTCTGCATTTGTATGAATCTTCGGCTGCAAATGCTCTCGGTGCAGTCAGAAACAGAGAAAATGCAAGTACGTTGCAGCTTGCCAGCAGATGAAAACAGAATGATGGTGAGAAGAACTTTCAAGACAAGTATTTTCATGTAGTAATCAGCTGTTATTTTTACTGCAGTCCTAAAGTTTTTTTTTTTTTTCAAAACACTTGCATGGAGTGTAAATAGCAGTTCAAAGAAATGCTGAAGAATTGTTAAATTTTTAAAAAGCTTCTGAGTAGAGACTTTATCTTACTTAGAAGAAACTTTAGAATGGATACCCTTACTTTGATAGTTAATTTTAATCAAAATGTTGGGTAAAACCCCTAAACTGTTTAGGACTGGGGAGTATTTCCGTGAAAGTCCTTTGAGGAAAATAAGAAATTTTATCCTGAAATTACTGCCTTAGATTTTAAGTAAAACCATCTGTTTCTGTCAGTATAAAATGACCTTTTCATAGAATCATAGAATCACAGAATGGTTAGGGTTGGAAGGGACCTTAAAGATCATCTAGTTCCAACCCCCCTGCCATGGGCAGGGACACCTTCCACTAGACTGGGTTGCTCAAAGCCACATCCAGCCTGACCTTGAACACTTCCAGGGATGGGGCATCCACAGCTTCTCTGGGCAACCTGTTCCAGTGCCTCACCACCCTCTCTGTGAAGAATTTCTTCCTGACATCTAATCTAAACCTCCCTGATTTCAATTTAAACCCATTACCCCTTGTCCTGTCACTACAGGCTCTTGTAAAAAGTCCTCTCCCCGCACCCTTGTAGGCCCCCTTCAGCTACTGGAAAGCTGCAATGAGGTCTCCTCGGAGCCTCCTCTTCTCCAGGCTGAACAAGCCCAGTTCTCGCAGCCTTTCGTCATAGGAGAGGTGCTCCAGCCCTCTGAGCATCTTCGTGGCCTCCTCTGGACTCGCTCCAAGTGGT